AGCATGCGTCAGTGTAGCAACATCATTGTACTGTCCGAAATCACTTTGCGGTTTTGCGACAATGTAATGTACTACTACCAACAAATGACACCTGAGACCGGTCAATTTGCACGTCAGACCCCGGTGCAGTTAACGCCTATCTCAATCGTTTTTCCTCTCGCGTCCAGGCGGCTGGAACCCTAGCCGCCTACAGGAGGCCAATCTTCTAGTGCCGTCCTCCAGCGGCTTCCTTTTGCTGGCGACCTCGATCGTCGGTGGTGACGGTGTCGCCGGATTCACACGTATGGATTATTTTTACTCTCTCGTAGTTTAGATTTTTAGGTTGTACATCGTCTTGACTTCGGGGGCAACAATGACGGCGTTGAATAAAGATTCTTCGGATCCATCCCTGACGAGGCCATCGGTCCTATGGTTGGGGATGAATTTGAAAACCAGTCTGTTCAAGTAAGGATGGCGTGGCAGCGGTGGCATCCTCACGGTGAACTTGTGTCATCGGGCTCCGCCGTTTGCGGCGACGTTTGCTCCAGCGTCAGCACGGAGCTTGGGAGGTAGTCAAGAGCGGATGTAGATTATGGTCTGCATCAACGACATCTGGAAGAAGGAACGTGTGCTGGATTTATGGATGGCACGTATGGTTTCCTCCTTCGGTGTCTTAGTCGTGGTGGGGTGCCAGATTTGGAGTTCGATGGCGTGTCCAGAGTGTTGCCCAAGTCTGATTCGTTCAACGGCAAGGGCTTCACTTTTGGCGAGCCACCTTGAAGGTCCGCAAAACTGCATATCAGTGATGGAGCCGCGTCGAGCTCGGGTGAGGAGGTGATCCGTCATTCTTTTCTTCGGTGGCTGTTATGGTAGCGCCGGAGACAGGTGACGGGCGTTGGTGTCAAGCTTAAAGATGTTCTACCATCTTTTCAGTTTTATCATGTCGGTCCTTACGTAACTTGTATTTTGATCTTTATAGTATGAATGGGACACGTATTACCATGCAAACACAAAAAACAAAACAAACGACACCTGCCATTGTTAATTGTCCGAAATCACTTTGTCATTGCTGATTTTTTTCTACCATTCATGGAAAAGGATCATAGGATTATGATGGGCGTCAGTTGTGGATGAACTTCGTTCTTGCTAACTCATGCAACTCGTGATTCGTGAAACAGTAAAGACGTGAAATTGGACATTACCAACTGCTAAAATATCTTGCATTGGTGTACAGAGGTTGTATATATAAACCTCGACGGACAGTTTGATTAATTATCTATACCAACATAAAAAGATATAAAGGGACAAATCCAATTGATCTCGGCCATCGAACTAAATCAATCCAACAACATAAACTGCTTCTATGACAAGCTTAAACATGTTTAACGTGCAATTAATATTATTTCAAATATTGCACTAATCACATAATTAACACATAAATAATAGTATACCTAATATCCATGTGCAATTAATATATTGCCTAAATACTAACGTGTGTTGCACGTACGCATTTACTAATTATCCTAATAAAAAACACTTTTTTTACAACCTAATGGCTGAACTCCGCCGTCGAGCGCGACGGCCTCTTCTCTGCTCACCGTGGTCTCAGGCAGCGCCATCGTGCGGAGCCAATCGATTGGCACGCACTTGGAGTTTTTTTTTTTTAAAGTCGTAGAATTGGAGGCTGGCGTGTAGAATGGCAATCCCCTCTGGCCCATTGGGCTCGCCAACTGACAACTCCTCCATGGGCCGAATTTATAGTGTGCAAACACTATCTAAACAGTAGATCTTCAAAAGATCATCCAGATCATCTTCTGTCAATCCCAGCTCTTTCATCATCAGCTCAACATCATCTATCTCCGCGGAGGCTGACGCCGTGTCCGAAGAGAGAAAATCTGAAGACCTGTCTATAATTTCCTTAATGACTGAACCATAAGCCGCAGACGTGCCATTCCTCACATCATCTACCACCACCTTGCAATCTGATGCAACATGGATGTTCTGGACATATAGATCTGCTGAGAGGGATAATGCTTCCCTGATTGCCATTGCCTCAAGTGTAGCTGGGTCATTTATATGTTTAATGAACTACCTATAATTTCTTATTCTTTTATGTGTTTTTTTGGTTTTCACTCGATTTTGCTAGTATATTTTTTTACTTTTTTAATTAACAATTTTTTCAAATTCTTGAACTTCTTTAAATTGATGAACATCTGTCAAATCTGTAAACTTTTGTCTACTTCAGTTTTTTTTCAAATTCATGAACTTGTTTTTACGTTGACGATCTTTTTTCTAATTCATGAACATTTTTTCAAAGTCAAGAGAATTTTTCAAATTCATGATATTTTTCACATTTGTTTTTATTTTAATTCGTGATTTTTCTTCAACTATGTTTCTAAAATATTTGATTTTTTTCAAAAGTATGAAATTTTAAATATAATAAAAAAAGGAAGTCGGTTTTTCCCCTAAACTAGTAGGTAATTTTTTTCTGAGAAAACCTAAACCAGTAGGGAAAAAAAGCTTCCGAACAACCGGCCGATTTTAGGCATGTGTCCGCCCGCGCTGCACCGTCCGATGACGCTAATCATGTTTTTATGCTGGGCGTGCGTTCACATGGGAATACTACCTTCTCAGTTTCATGGTGTGTGTCTTTGAATTTCAGCGCCTCACACGATACTAGCCAGCTAATACTAGTCACCGGCGGGGTTGCAAACGTTGGCGAACGACGGTTGTGCTCCGGAGCTTCGTCACTTCATCTTCATTAGTTCATTGTAAATTTTTCTGCAACATTATCTATATTATATAAAAAAATTCCATAACATTAACGATGTTAAGAAAGGTGAAGACTGAAAAAAATTCTGTAACACGACCTCTATTGCGAAATCCTCCCGCAACACCAGCTATGATACAAAAAAGATAAAAATGATTTTTTTTCTGCAACACGACCTCTGTTGCAAAAATCCTCCCACAACATCGTATATGTTACAAAAAGGTGAAAAATATTTTTTCTGCAACACGACCTCGGTTTCCAAAATACTCCCTGCAATTGCAGAAAGGTGAAATACAATTTTTTTTCTGCAACAGAACCTCTGTTACAAAAAAACGGCACCAAGACCTTTGCTGCAAAAACAATGCTTAATAAACATGTGAAGCTAAAAAACGCTCAGGGGTAGAGCCGCTGTTGCAGAGCGAACATCGCAACAACCCGCTTGTTGCAATTCGCGACACACGCGTTTTGGGGATATCCGATGGTTGTTCTTGCGTCAACCGGATGGCCCTGGAGGCGGCACATGTTTTTGTTATATCCACCGACGGACGCGTTGCGAACCGACCAACAACAAAAGGGTTTGTTGCGGTGACATAGGACATATCGCAACTATCAAAGATACGCATGACCCATCGATGAGTGTTCACAACGCGAACACAACATGGATTATGTTGCAAACCCCCAAGTGAAACATGGATCATATTGCAATATTCCAGATTCCAAAATTATTCTTGCATTTGCAAGAGCTAATGGAAATTAGTTGAAGCTAGCAGTTAATAACTGCAGGTTTCGGAGTTCGGCGGAAAATTAGTTAATCGATACGGTAGTGAGCCGGCCGATGGAAGTTGGGCTGATCCGATTAGAGCGCTTAGGCCTCGGCACCATAGGTAAATAAAAATATTCCAAGCCGTCCGACTCGTAGTGCAGCTCATTCACAAAATCACAAAATCACTAATTAAGGAGTACTCATTGTAAACAACACTCCACTTTCCCAGGTCGCGACAAGTGGCGCACATGCACCGCGCCACTTATCGTAACCTGAGAGTTTTCCCTTTTTTCGTAGATTCGTTTATTCAAAACATTTTATCTTTTAAACCGTGCGTCCAAATCTCGAACCGTTTTCACGATTGGATTTCTCGCGTCGAGATTTTTAAAACCAGATCCCATGTTGATAGGTTTTGACAAACTTTTTTTTCACGAAAAAAACCGAACGAAAAAAAGATGCAAAACCGAAACCGGGAGCACAGTTTTTTCCCTTTTCGAAAGAGGCGCGCCCGTGCCTCTCGTGGAAGCAAAACCGTGACTCTCGTGAAAGAAAAAAACAGAAAACACGTTTTTTTTCCGTTTCCGAGAGGCACGACCGTGACTCTCGCGAAAGCACAACCGTGCCTCTTGCGGAAGCAAAACCGTGACTCTCGTGAAAAAAACAGAAAATGCGTATTTTTTTTTCTTTTCTGAGAGGCACGGCCGTGACTCTCGCGAAAGTACAACCGTGCCTCTCGCGGAAGCAAAACCGTGACTCCCGTGAAAGAAAAAAAAACAGAAAACGCGTTTTTTTTCCGTTTCCGAAAGGCATGGCCGTGACTCTCGCTAAAGCACAACCATGCCTCTCGCGAAAAAAAACCCGTAATTTTTATGGAAAAAAAATGCGTTTTTTCACGCAAAAATATTTTTTTCAAATTTTTTTTAATCGAAAAGCTAAGGAAGACTAAGAAAAAACCAAAACGTCGAAAAAATCCAAAAAAAATCATTTAAAAAGCCAAAAACGCGTGCAAAAAAATAATAAAAAAGTAAATTCGGAGAGAACGTCCAGAGCGCGACACGTGGCGAATGACTGAGAGCGCGCCAAGTGGCGCTGATAGTTGTGAGGCTCCCGAAGGAGCGCTGGTTAACTCGTTGTTCCCCGATATTCTTTAATTTTCCGCCGGTGGACGCGTAGTGCAGCCCAAACCAGTAGGTTGAACGATCGGGTCCAGGCGTCCAGCGAGCGGAGAGTGCTAATGGGCCAGCCCAACCGAGGCGTGCGTGAGCTGCTGGCCCCGGAAGCTCTCGACCCTGATCCCCCTCCCTCGGCCTCCTCTCCCCTAGCTGTTGTGCCGCCGCCGCCGCCGCCTCTGCGCCGCTCCGCGCTGCTCGCCAACGAGCCGCCCCCGTCAAGAGCCGTCGACACCATCCACCCCGGCCGTACGAGCGCCCAAGGCCCCCGCGCCGACGCCCCGGGCCGTCCAGCCCCACCGGTAGCCACTGATTAGTGATGGCGAAGCTGAAGCCCGTCCCTCCGACGGCTACTCCTCGAGGTATGAAACCTTAGTCGCCGCCTCTTGCCTGAAGCTCTGAATTTGTGCCTTGCTCAGTTTCCTCTCCGCTCATGTCGCTGTCGTGTGGTTTCAGGTCAGAAGAGGCGCCGTGAGAAGCCCCAAAGGCCGGCGCTTGACGACGATCTTCCTGACTCTTCAGGTTTGCTTTTCGTTACTGTGTTCTCTCTTTGGCAGACAGTGGCAATATACATATATAATAACAGTTCAGTAGGCGTTAATTGCTACTGCTTCGATTTCCTCCTCACTTGTTTCGTGCTAAAATTGTTATGTGGAATTGTATGCTGGTGCTTGCTGAAGCCTTGCGTTCTAGAGGAAAATGAGTAAATGACAATTCAATTTCTGGGTTCAGTTGTTTAGTTTCTACTTAGAAGCTGAGGTACCGTGGTAGTACAGGCTAGAAAGTGGTACATGCTAGAAAAATGTCTGGGCATACTTCAAAATGAATTTATTTCCATGACAATGGCTAGTGCTGGAGCCATCCATTTAGTACTCACTAAGTATGTAACTGTCCAACTTAGATATACATGATTCATGAACCTTCTCCAGGTTATTCGTAAAGTTTTGATGATCTTATTAGTGGATTGGAAGGGGTGTAGTTTCACGGTTGAATGTGTTTCTTTCTAATATAAACAGTACTACTCCACCTCTTCCTCTAATTCAATTTCATCTCTATTCATTTTGAACCAAACTTTACTTTTTTGTGTTCTTGGACGTATGGTTTATTCTCTATAGTTTTTGTGCTCTTGGAGGTATGTTTATTCTGTATTGGGTTGTACATTTCGCATCTAGTAACATAAAGCGAAAAGGTGCTCTTCATAGGTTTCACCAACCAAATATTTTATAGGGAGGTTACTGATGCTAGAGTGGTGTTATTTTGGCAGACATTATGACTGGCTCAATATTCTTTGCACAGTGATGTGCAATGTGTCAGTATGCCCTTTTCCATTTTTTGGTGCTTAATTACTTAAGTATTGCATGCAGCTGGAATCATAGCAGCAAAGGCTGCTCGACGTGAGAAACCATCCAATGAGATCCCTCAAGTCCTACATCAGAATGATGACGATGACTCAGATGATTGCAATGTTTCCAGTGAGGATGAGGCACATGATATGATAAGCAATAAAAGTGATGCTTTTGATGAAATGGAGTCGTCATGGTTGGTGCTATTAATGCAACAATATCCACATTTTTTCTTCAGTGACTGGGACACATATTATTGCTATTGTAAATGGTCAATATTTATATTAGTTTATATGATATCGGTCATTCAGTTTTTGGTTATACTCCCTCTGTCCCATAATATAAGAACGTTAATATAAGAACGTTTCCAAAATATAAGAACGTTTTTAACACTACACTAGTGTCAAAAACGTTCTTATATTATGGGACAGAGGGAGTAGTGTATTATGCCACCATCTTTGTCCTACATGTCTAGGTTTAAGAATGCTCGTTTGATGTTGGCTCTACTGCATCATTTTATTTTCTTGCATTATATGTATGATATGTTCATATAACTCGTTCTAACACTGCCCCTTTTTGCATGTTCCAGTTCATTTCAGCGTCATGTTACTCACGTGCTAGCAAATGATGAAGTCAATGCATTAGTGAATCAGAAGAGTAAATTTAAATGGGAGATGCCTGCAGAGGAGATTCCAAAATCCAAATGGGTTGGAACAGGTGAAAAAATTAAGGTACTTCATGGAATTATTTCATCATGATACGCTCTCATTAAATTATTTTGATTGATTATCTTGTTTCTCCTTGAAATGCGGGTCACTGAACTTGAGCCTTTGATAGCTTAGCTGTATATATATTTGTAATTTGAAGACCAAATTTCATGTTCATCATGTGTTTAAATCACCTTATGACCTATATTCATGTTATAACACTTTTTGTGAGGGGTTACTATGGTGCATTTCTCTGTTCCACAGCCATCTGCAGTTACTTGCAATATGTTTGCAGTGGTAAGTTAAGTGTGCTTTTTCAAGGGGAAAGTCCTGCTGAAATATTTGTCCCTGCTCCTCTGTGTTTGTGTACTTGATCCATTACATTAGTTATCGAATTACTCAACTGCTTCATGCTGAGTTATCAACTTCATTAGTAGTGCAGGGATGTTTTTCTGAATAATAAATACTTCAGGCAGCTTCGCATTGAAAGCTGATTCTTAATGCTTTGTACTTTCAGGGAGCTTCTGATGACCCTTTTGTTGATGTCAAAGGAAAATTGAAGGACCACTGGCAAAAAATCCTCTCTGATGATTTGAATTATAGATCGAGGTTCTTCTCACTTTGTAAGTTTTCCTATTTGATTATCTTTTAGTTAGTGCCTTATTTCACAAATGACATGACTTAGTAGAACATTAAAGTTGCTCAGTTTAGAATTGGTGCCTACTAAAAGCGCACGCTATTCATTACCTTAATATATATTAGTTAACCAATAGTGCTGCCTGAGAGGAATAAGAGAGTTAGTTTTCTAGAATTCACGAAGATCCATATTTCTGATTAGTTTTTGTAGCACATCCCAACAAGAGAAAAGTGGACATAATATTAGTTGGATCAGGACTTGCAACTGTAAATTCCATGCGATGACACTTATTCTACGTGTTTGTGTGTGATAGCTCTAAAACTGATCTCCAAAGTGAACTAGGAAGAAATTTTCTTTCCCAAAGAAGCCAGCAGGAGCTTCTCTGCCCATTCTGCTAGTAGGGGAAAGTAAAGATTCTAGGATTCATCCTTCCAGATGGAAGACTACGTCCCTTTAAGGCTCTCAACTGATCCAGATGCGGGCTTTCATTTATAACGCTCGACCTGAAGGATTGAAACTATTTTGTTCACAAACAATCTGAACATGTTTTGGGTGGGTGTTTTTGTTGGGTAGGTGGGTGGATGGGTGGGGTCTTCTGTTTCCCCCCTCCGCAGAACCAGTTAATACCATCCATAACTTGTGAAAACAGTAAATGCCCCTGAGAATTGGTGATGTTTATTAATCCTACTTTGTCAGGTGCCCGCCTTGGTGAATTTGGCGTATAGGAACATAAAGTACCTTTTGTGGTTCCCTTATCCTAAAGATTATGCTGTGCACGTCTTTTCTTGATCCATATTCTCGCTATTTTTGAGAAAAGAATTATTACCAATATGGTTTTAGGCTTTTAGCATACATACCAAGTTACCAACTCCATTTATACACTTTTTTTCTCGTATAATTAAGCATATCTAAAACAAATTGTGGCGTAACATGTCATGCTTCCTCCCTAAAACGGTGTAGTGCCCTCTCTCTATCACTTTTTTAAAGTGTATTTCTAATCCTAATCATGTATTACAGGTAATAGCTATCGTGACATAATGCATTGTAATAAGAAGCCATTTTATCTCAAGGGTAGTAAGGTGGATTCCAGTACTATGGACGCATATCTTATGCATGCTGTAAGTTTCACAATCCCTATTTGGTAGCATTATTACTGTACCTGTTGTGATGCTGACTAATGTGCAATATTGTCACAATGGCAGTTGAGCCATGTTCATAGGACAAGAGATGTTGTCATTAAGAATGATGCGAAGCTTAGGAATGATGCTAACACAGATGTTATGGAGGACGACTCATACCGCGATCAGGGTTTTACACGTCCAAAGGTATATGTCAGATAGTCACAACACATTTGAGAAAATGGTATCTTATTTGGCATATGATGTATTGCATAGATGTGTGCTGGGCTACAGTTGCTTGACAATTAACTGCACTATTTTATCAAGTAAATGCTATGTCTCTTTTTGTTAAGACTAAATGTTGTTGTACCTCCATTTATACACAACTTGTAATTTTGTTGTATCTTGATCTGTTGAACTAATCGCTATTTTCTTTTGTATTATATCATGAACTTAGGTTCTTTTCTTGTTACCTCTCAAAAGCATTGCACGACGCATTGTGAAGAGATTAATTCAATTATCTCCGCTGGCACAAAAGGTAACATTTGACCTTTGCAGCTACTCTTACAGATAGCATCTGAATATCATTTTCTATGAAATACGCTGCCAAATTATACCATGAATTCCATTTGGATCTGCAAATTGTTTGCATATATAATTTATGGTTGCTGGTTCAGTTATTATTTTGCTCTGGTGCTAAGAAATAGAGAATTCTTACTTTTATTTATAGGATAATTCTATGGGACAATTCAAGAAAGAGTTTGGCGAATCAGATGATGAACTGGAGGAGCCAAATAGTTCAAAACCAACAGACTTTAACCTTCTGTTTGCTGGGGATGTTGAAGATCACTTTCTTTTTGGAATAAAATTTACAAAGTAAGTGTGCTGTTAATTTTTCCTTGTAATAATTTTCTAGTTGTGAGGACTAGTACGTCTACTATGTACTCTCCACAGTTTTTTGTTAACAGCTCAATTTTTTTCTTCAGTTTTTCATTGCCAATCACAGGCTTCTGATGTGAACATGAGTATGTTAAAGGAATAGGCAAATCCTCAGAAGAAGCACAATCAATTACAAAAATTATAATTATAACTTATATTCACTTGTTTGCTAAGACTTCCTTGTAAAATGTTTCAATATCTTTTGTGTTTTGTGAACTTTTTGGTCACTCTTTTATTATTCTGCACTATGAGATCTCATGCTTTTAGCAAACTATATGTCCTTAAATTTGTTATTCCTTTCACATTGATGTTTTTATATTTACGTAGGATTCTATATTTATACAAGATTTCTTAAAAAGTTAATGTTTTAACTAATGCTTCTGCAGGAAATCTGTTAAGCTATACAGCAATTTCTACGCTTCTGATATCATAGTTGCGTCTCCTTTAGCGCTTAAACTTGTAAGTACTCTTTAACAAAGGTTTCTTAATACACTTAATTAGTCATGATTACTCATGCGTCCAGCAGCTGTATATTTTTATTGTTCTGGGGACACCTCATAGGCAACTGACCTTAATATACCTGCCTGTTATCAGAAAATTGATGGAGGTGAAGTTACCAAGAAAAAGGGACGTCCCAAGGAAAACGATTCTGATTTCCTGTCATCAATTGAAGTTAGTTCCACTCGTATCCATATACTATTTTCTATTTACTACTATCTCCAGTCCTATATATTAGTTTATTTTTGTTAACCATTAGTATGTGTAAATAATCTATTTCAGTCTGTAAACATTGATTGAATGAATTTCTTGAAAGTTCAAGTATTTTGTCATCATTTTGAAGGGGGTATAAGTTTCAGATTAAATTTCCCTTGCTGCATGTTCAGTGGACAAACATTTCAATAAACCACACGTCAATTACTGTTAATTGCTCCAGAATGTTATGCTTGGGATGTGTCCAAATGGTAATTGACAGAGCTCTGGCTATTGCAATGCTTGTCCAGAGTACCCGTAGCTCAACGATGTTTAATTTAAACCTTGTATTTCATTAAATTATTAACTTCTAGTTCTTTGATTTGGGTATATTTTAAAACTTGTAGTTTTTTGACTCATGAATATTTTAAAACTTGTAGCACTTTGACCATGTGCCAACAAACTTAGTTTGAGAAAAGTTACTCATACTTGGTACATTGGTCTCAGAAGTATTTCACAATACTTCAGAGTTGCTAATGTATTGTAATAAGAAACCCTGTGTTTCAATTTGTATAGTTGAAGCCATGCCAAGTCAACATAGACTTCCATAAAGGAACAGTAACTGTGCACATTCAGTTTTTTTCTTGTACAAGGTCTAAACTATCAATACATTTGTTCTGTGCAGATAGTGGTGGCTGATTACGGAGATGTGATATCTATGCAGGTTAAACTCCAACTCAAATAATTTTCTGTACTTATTTTCTGATGCCGGCTGGTAAAAATAACTGTGTTATTTATAAATGTAGAATTGGTCGCATCTGCATGCTGTTCTTGAACAACTAAATCATTTGCCATCAAAAGAGCATGTAACCAATGTGATGCGGATCAGGCCATGGTAATTCTTTTTTTCGTGCATATTTATTCCTGTATGGCATCTTCTATTGTTGTACTTCTATCTATAAGAGTATAAGACGCCAACTCACTGTATTGTGAACTGCAAAAAGACTTGGAATCTATTCCTGATTTGACGTTTGCGAGGTCAGTTTCATGCTTGTTACATTTTCTTTATTTGGTTAAGGTACCTGGATGAGCAAGCACGGTACTATCGGCAAACAATAATCTTAAGTTCGTATCTTACGCCAGGTATGGAATTTCACTTGGAACTCTGGCCATCATTGGATTCCAATTTTTCTATACTTCAGCTTCTATCATTCAGTTGCATTTTCAGTATCAACTAAAATTAAACTAGTTATGCTTTTAATCATGATCTGCATTTATTTGCTAAACATTATTATTATTTCTTCGAGTGGTGTATGTGTCCCCTGGTGTTATGCATGGTTCTTTGGTATTCAAAATTGCTTGCGTTAATTGTGCATGTGTAAAGTGACACTTGCTATTCTATTCTTAATTGTGCTACATAGAGTGGACCTTTTATTTATCTGCATCGTCATCTACTTGTTTACTTATAAACCTATTTATGTTCTAATTTTTTGCCTGCTGAGCAGAGATGAATGCTTTGTTCAACGGATTATGTCTAAATTACGAGGGGAAGGTATATAGTATGCTGGAAGTCACTAAGCTATTTGCCGTGTTGGACTCATGTTTCTAACATGCCGGAACTCAACCTTTTCAGGTTAAGCTGGCGAGTGAGTTTACAGGTGTTCTTCCCAAAATACAGCTTGAAATACGGCAGGTCAGTTAATTCATTGTCTCCCCAGACTCCCATCGCATCATTGCAAATTTACTGTCCAGATATGTCCAGTGCATCTGAACAAAATTTGATGCCAAGAATCAGGGCTTTTGCTGAGTTTTCTAATAAATTTTGGATGGGCTCGCTCAACAGACACATCCTAGTGCTAAAACAGTATTGATGAAATTACAAATGTTTTTCACTGTCCAATCACTACACAGGTGTATGAACGATTTGATGCATCTTCTATTGGTGAACTTGATGATGCCCGCTTTGAATATTTCTGCACAAAGGTGAGTCCATTTGTCCTTGTAATGCATGCTTGACAAATGCATTATGGAATTTAGCACATTCAGCTCATTTTCACAACTATCACTTGTCCTTTTACAGTACTTAATTCATGTGTAAACTACTGTATGTAAACAATTAGTAAGGGGAAGCAACCTAAATCCTTATCTGGATGTGGTGCCCCCTCCAAATCAGCCTGTGCCTTCTCCGCTGTGTCCACAGCCATGGGTCCTCGTTGCCGGTGGCTGTATGTCATGCCCCACATGACATCTCTCCCCTCGTGAAGCAGCTTGTCCTCGAGCTGAAACTGAGGGTAGTATCGGACAAACTCATCAAGGTGCTCCCAAATAGCATCGCTAGGAGCTGTGCCCTCCCAGTGGACAAGTACATGACTGATTCCATGATATATGAGGGCATGGAGCACTCTGGGCGGGGGCAGGCATCGTGTTAGTGCGCTGACGGGAAGAGTGAGCTGGAGCTCATGGTGCCACCTCTCATGGTGCTTCCTGGTATGCTGCTGAGCCTGCAGCAACCGTTCGCGGACCTCTTGGAGAAACTCATTCTTATTGCAGTCGTGTAATGCAGTATGGCCGGAAGCCACCTTGGCGTCGTTCTGCGTGTAATCCACTCCATCAAGGCCAGTGGCTGTCAGCCATTGACCGACCTCAACGGAAGTTTTTTTTTTTGACAGAACCTCAACAGAAGTTGTGTGCAAGAACGAGCAGAAGGATTTATAGCATTGACGTACTGCAGGCGTCCCGTTTGGACACTTAGGCAACAAGGTGTCCTGCCAGCGCCTCGCAATTTTGCCTGCCTTATGCGCTTAGGCATCAGGGCGGTGCGTGCTCGCCTTACTGCCTTAAGAAATAAGAAGTTTAAACCCAATCATCCAAATCAAGTGCTCCAGCAAAATTGTAAACTTAGACATGGCCAAAAATTAGCAACAAGCTGGGACATGTAGTTGTACACAAAAGTGCTGATTCCACATGATATCATGGCTCACAACTAATCGCTTTCAGTGGTAGGCGCCGTGTAAAATTATGAGGTTGTATACAGTTTTATTTGGCCACTTCTTATGGTCATGGCTCTTAATTATTGGAACAAATCTAACATTTTTTTTTCGTTTCTATATATGTGTATCCTATTATTGACTATTTTATGATGTAATGATACAGGTGTACCCAAAGATTCAGGAGTCAGATGAGGTATTGTTTCTTCTATAGTCGTAATATCTGCAATGCTGTCATGTTCACTTAAATTTGGTATTTCTCGACGTTGGTAGGAGGATTTGCTTTAAATGTCAACCTGTAGGAGTTAGGCCCTGATAGTTAATTAAAACGTTAGGGGGGGGGGTAAGAATTCAAGAAACTATGTCTGCATCTGACAGCACGTAGCATTTTGGAGGGATATAACCAAACATACCATTTTGTAGCAGTGGGATGTACATACTTAATGTTATTATCGCCCAGGAAAATTTTACAACAGTATTTGTCGGAGGTGTACCAGAATGTTGCGCATTTTGCAGTAAATCTTGTCGGTGGATGTGCCATACTTGTCTGGAAATGGCACCATGTTGGAGGAAATTTTTATGTTAGTTGATTGGAAATATCATGTGCAATATTTCTCTAATTGTTTGTTGCAAATATGCAGGGCGGAGTGTTGCTATTTGCCAGTTCCTATTTTGAATACATTAGGCTGAGCAGTTTTTTGAAATCTCAGGATGCTTCTTTCTGTAGAATTGGGGAGTAAGTGGATCTTCCTTATTCTTATAGCTTATATTTTTGTTCAACTACTAAAAGGGGTCTGCTCTCAGTCTTCATTTTTATCATGAATATGTTTTGTCTTGTGCGTATAGTAACTACCTATATGTGCTCATATATTAGGGCGACGTCACAACAGGATATATCTCGTGCAAGACTCTGGTTCTTTGAGGGCCAGAAGAAGATCTTGCTTTATAGTGAGAGATCTCACTTCTTCCACAGATACAAGGTCATAACATCTGAAAGGCCGTCCCTCGAGTACTTGTTATGATGTGTGCTCTTGCTGCTGTTCATGAGCACGCACCTGAGTGTTCGTTCGTGTAATGTTTAAACTCGTGCTTTTTAAATATGCAGATCAGGGGAGGACATCATTTGGTCGTCTACTCATTGCCAGGGAGAAAAGATTTCTATCCAGAGGTATGTATTGACTAGATCGTGACTGTGCAGTACGTACTATATCTGAAGCTGTGCTGTCGAAGTTCTAAAGTATTTATCTGTCTTGACCCTGGGGTTTTCTTTTCTTTCAGCTTGTAAATATGCTCGGTGAATCAGGAAATCCCAGGTGCAATGTGCTTTTTTCTCGCCTGGACCTCCTTAAGGTGAGACGACCGTTTCATGTAAAAGTTTGGTTCAATGTACAGCACTGCAGCTACTAAGTTTGTAGCGCATCAAAGTTACAATCTGGACCGCGTTGTAAAAAGCATGTTGGGGGTGTGATAGTCGATAGCCGGTTCATATATATATACATTGGATTTCTTATGTAGTGTTTTGTTAAATTCAGTTTGATTGTATTCGAGCGCCTGGCAAACAAGTTAACATGGGTTGACATTTTCTGTTGCAGCTGGAGCGGATCGTTGGAACGTCGTCTGCACGGAGGCTGATTTCTTCTGACAAGGATATGTTTGTCTTCTGCTGACCGTGCGCGTGAGCGTATTACAGCCTAGCCGGCTAGAATTTTGGAACATGAGCTGAAAATCTGCTGTTGATTAGTCCAGCTGAAAGTTTTTGTGCCTGAAGTTGCGGTAGCGGATTATATGCACTGCACTAGATAACAGAACATTCCTTTTGAGGCCTTGTCCGCTTTGTAGGCTGTAGCTTGTTGGCTGTGGCAGTCAAACTTTTTCTATATTTTAGTATATGGAAATTTTATTTTATGGTCAATATAATGAAACTAATTTAGCCTTTTTCTTTGATCTGAAACTAATTTAGTGATAACCAAGCCAGCCACAGCCCAAGCCTTCCAATCCGAGCCACCTTTTCCACGACACAATTTTCAGGCCGGCCATAGTATTACTCAACATGAAGGGTTGCTGGCTGTCTAAACAAAAATACACTAGTATCTACAACACCAATTACATGTAGTACGTAATTGTGTTATCCGGAAATCGTAATACATGTGTGAATACATAGACACCAACATGTCCCTAGTAAGCCTCTAGTTGACTAGCTCGTTGATCAACAGATAGTCATGGTTTCCTGATTATGGACATTGAATGTCATTGATAACGAGATCACATCATTAGGAGAATGATGTAATGGACAAGACCCAATCCTAAACATAGCACAAGATCGTATAGTTCGTTTGCTAGAGTTTTTCCAATGTCAAATATCTTTTCCTTAGACCATGAGATCGTGTAACTCCCGGATGCCGTAGGAGTGCTTTGGGTGTACCAAACGTCACAACGTAACTGGGTGACTATAAATGTATACTACGGGTATCTCTGAAAGTGTCTGTTGGGTTGACACGGATCAAGACTGGGATTTGTCACTCCGTATAACGGAGAGGTATCTCTGGGCCCACTCGGTAATGCATCATCATAATGAGCTCAAAGTGACCAAGTGTCTGGTCACGGGATCATGCATTACGGTACGAGTAAAGTGACTTGCCGGTAACGAGATTGAACGAGGTATTGGGATACCGACGATCGAATCTCAGGCAAGTAACGTACCAGTTGACAAAGGGAATTGTATACGGGGTTGCGTGAATCCTCGACATTGTGGTTCATCCGATGAGATCATCGAGGAGCATGTGGGAGCCAACATGGGTATCCAGATCCCGCTGTTGGTTATTGACCGAAGAGCCGTCTCGGTCATGTCTACATGTCTCCCGAGCCCGTAGGGTCTACACACTTAAGGTTCGGTGACGCCAGGGTTGTAGAGATATGTATATGCAGTAACCCGAAAGTTGTTCGGAGTCCCGGATGAGATCCCGGATGTCACGAGGAGTTCCGAAATGGTCCGGAGGTAAAGAATTATATATAGGAAGTGCTATTTCGGCCATCGGGACAAGTTTCAGGGTCACCGGTATTGTACCGGGACCACCGGAAGGGTCCCGGGGGTCCACCGGGTGGGGCCACATATCCCGGAGGGCCCCATGGGCTGAAGTGGGAGGGGAACCAGCCCCTAGTGGGCTGGTGTGCCCCCCTTGGGCCTTCCCCTGCGCCTAGGGTTGGGAACCCTAGGGTGGGGCCGCCCCACTTGCCTTGGGGGGCACTCCACCCCCTTGGCCGCCGCCCCCTTGGGAGATTGGATCTCCAGGGTCGGCGCCCCCCTGGGGACCCTATATATAGAGGGGGGGAGGGAGGGCAGCCGCACCCATGCCCCTGGCGCCTCCCTCTCCCCTCCAACACCTCCTCCTCCTCCGTAGAGAACGACAAAGCCCTACTGCGGTGACTGCTGCATCCACCACCACGCCGTCGTGCTGCTGGATCTTCATCAACCTCTCCTCCCCCCTTGCTGGATCAAGAAGGAGGAGACGTCACGCTGACTATACGTGTGTTGAACACGGAGGTGCCGTCCGTTCGGCGCTAGGATCTCCGGTGATTTGGATCACGTCGAGTACGACTTCCTCATCCCCGTTCTTTGAACGCTTCCGCGCGTGATCTACAAAGGTATGTAGATGCAATCCGATCACTCGTTGCTAGATGAACTCATAGATGGATCTTGGTGAAACCGTAGGAAAATTTTTGTTTTCTGCAACGTTCCCCAACAGTGGCATCATGAGCTAGGTCTATGCGTAGTTCTTTTTGCACGAGTAGAACACAATTTGTAGTGGGCGTAGATGTTGTCAACTTTCTTGCCGCTACTAGTCTTATTTTGCTTCAAGGGTATTGTGGGATGAAGCAGCCCGGACCAACCTTATACGTACGCTTACGTGAGACCGGTTCCACCGACTGACATGCACTAGTTGCATAAGGTGGCTGGCGGGTGTCTATCTCTCCCACTTTAGTTGGAGCGGATTCGATGAAAAGGGTCCTTATGAAGGGTAAATAGAAGTTGACAAATCACGTTGTGGCTTTCACGTAGGTAAGAAAACATTCTTGCTAGAACCCTATTGCAGCCACGTAAAACTTGCAACAACAATTAGAGGACGTCTAACTTGTTTTTGCAGCAAGTGTTTTGTGATGTGATATGGCCAAAGTTGTGATGAATGATGAATGATATATATGTGATGTATGAGATGTTCATGCTATTGTAATAGGAATCACGACTTGCATGTCGATGAGTATGACAACCGGCAGGAGCCATAGGAGTTGTCTTTATTTTTTGTATGACCTGCGTGGCATTGAGAAACGCCATGTAAATTACTTTACTTTATTGCTAAACGTGTTAGCCATAGTAGTAGAAGTAATAGTTGGCGAGCAACTTTATGGAGACACGATGATGGAGATCATGGTGTCATGCCGGTGACAAGATGATGATGGAGCCCCAAGATGGAGATCAAAGGAGCTATGTGATATTGACCATATCATGTCACTATTATTATTTGATTGCATGTGATGTTTATCATGTTTTTGCATCTTGTTTACTTAGAACGACGGTAGTAAATAAGATGATCCCTCATAATAATTTCAAGAAAGTGTTCACCCTAACTGTGCACCATTGCGACAGTTTGTTGTTTTGAAGCACCACGTGATGATCGGGTGTGATAGATTCCAACGTTCACATACAACGGGTGTAAGACAGATTTACACATGCAAACACTTAGGTTGACTTGACGAGCCTGGCATGTACATACATGGCCTCGGAACACAGAAGACCGAAAGGTCGAGCATGAGTCGTATAGAAGATACGATCAACATGAAGATGTTCACCGATGTTGACTAGTCCGTCTCACGTGATGATCGGACACGGCCTAGTTAACTCGGATCATGTTATACTTAGATGACTGGAGGGATGTCTATCTGAGTGGGAGTTCATTGAATAATTTGATTTAGATGAACTTAATTATCATGAACTTAGTCTAAAATCTTTACAACATGTATTGTAGATCAAATGGCCAACGTTGTCCTCAACTTCAACGCGTTCCTAGAGAAAACCAAGATGAAAGACGATGGCAGCAACTACACGGACTGGGTCCGGAACCTGAGGATCATCCTCATAGCTGCCAAGAAAGATTATGTCCTACAAGCATCGCTAGGTGACGCACCTGTTCTCCCTGCAGAACAAGACGTTATGAATGCTTGGCAGACACGTACCGATGATTACTCCCTCGTTCAGTGCGGCATGCTTTACAGCTTAGAACCGGGGCTCCAAAAGCGTTTTGAGAGACACGGAGCATATGAGATGTTCGAAGAGCTGAAAATGGTTTTTCAAGCTCATGCCCGGGTCGAGAGATATGAAGTCTCCGACAAGTTCTTCGGCTGTAAGATGGAGAAAAACAGTTCTGTCAGTGAGCACATACTCACTATGTCTGGGTTACATAACCGCTTGACTCAGCTGGGAGTTAATCTCCCGGATGACGCGGTCATTGACAGAATCCTTCAGTCGCTTCCACCGATCTACAAGAGCTTTGTGATGAACTTCAATATGCAGGGGATGGAAAAGACCATTCCTGAAGTATTTGCAATGCTGAAGTCAGCAGAGGTAGAAGTCAAAAAGGAACATCAAGTGTTGATGGTGAATAAAACCACTAAGTTCAAGAAAGGCAAGGGTAAGAAGAACTTCAAGAAGGACGGTAAGGGAGTTGCCGCGCCCGACAAGCAAGCTGCCGGGAAGAAGCCAAAGAATGGACCCAAGCCCGAGACTGAATGCTTTTATTGCAAGGAAAGTGGTCACTGGATGCGGAACTGCCCCAAATACTTAGCGGACAAGAAGGCCGGCAAAACGAAAGGTATATGTGATATACATGTAATTGATGTGTACCTTACCAGTACTCGTAGTAGCTCCTGGGTATTTGATACCGGTGCAGTTGCTCACATTTGTAACTCAAAGCAAGAGCTGCGGAATAAGCGGAGACTGGTGAAGGACGAGGTGACGATGCGCGTCGGGAATGGTTCCAAGGTCGATGTGATCGCCGTCGGCACGCTACCTCTACATTTACCTACGGGATTAGTTTTGAACCTCAATAATTGTTATTTAGTGCCAAGTTTGAGCATGAACATTGTATCAGGATCTCGTTTAATACGAGATGGCTACTCATTTAAATCCGAGAATAATGGTTGTTCTATTTATATGAGAGATATGTTTTATGGTCATGCTCCGATGGTGAATGGTTTATTCTTAATGAATCTCGAGCGTAATGCTACACATATTCATAGTGTGAGTACCAAAAGATGTAAGGTTGATAATGATAGTCCCACATACTTGTGGCACTGCCGCCTTGGTCACATAGGTGTCAAACGCATGAAGAAGCTCCATGCAGATGGACTTTTAGAATCTCTTGATTACGAATCATTTGACACGTGCGAACCATGCCTCATGGGTAAAATGACCAAGACTCCATTCTCAAGAACAATGGAGCGAGCAACCAACCTATTGGAAATCATACATACTGATGTGTGCGGTCCAATGAGTGTTGAGGCTCGCGGTGGTTATCGTTATGTTCTCACCCTCACTGATGACTTGAGTAGATATGGGTATGTCTACTTAATGAAACACAAGTCTGTGACCTTTGAAAGGTTCAAGGAATTTCAG